TCACCATATACCGGTGAAGGGCTTCAAATTTTGACCTTTACTCGGCACTCAGGGCCATTGAGCAGTGAGGGATCTTTATCGTGCCAACGCCTGCCGTGACACGGGGCCTCGGTTTTTAAGGTCTCATCCGAAGGACCCGCAACTTTCACTTCAAAGTGCCGAGCGCATGGCAAAGGAACAGTTGCTACCCATTTTTTATCGACTTAGGTCAGTCGCGGCCGAGATTCGAACTCACGACCTCCCGATCACGAAGCGAGCGCTCTACCGACTGAGCTACCGTGAACGGTAACTTTCTAAGACAAAAATGTATAAATTATTATTATGATCGAGTTGCACCAACCAGTCAATGGTTAACGTTCTGAAGACTTTCTTTTTGTAATCTACGAATATATAAAATGTTTGGGATTTTGATAACTTAATTAATTGCTGTACTTAATTTTTTTCAGAAACTGGCTACTGTTCTAAAAAATGCCAAGTAAAAATTAACAACTTAGAAAGTGAAGCATGGAGTTACTATAATCACGTTTATTACACAGTTTACTATCAACTTACATCGTTAACGCTTAGTTTCAATGATTTGGGCGAAAAAGTAACGACGATCCACAGTAGATGTTACAGTAGTACTTCGTATGAAAAGAAAACGATTGAAATTATTTGTGAAACAGGTTTCGAGAATGGTAGGTGCATATACCGTGGTAATGAAGAAATCATAGATATGTAGTTTCTTGTAAATATAACTCAAACCTTAAGTGTATTTTTGTGTCGCCTGCAGAGCAGAGCGACACTCAGGATCACTTTGACGGGCGTCTGTTTGTCTGTCTGTCTAGATATCCTTCTGTCCGTCTGTCACACCTTTAATTAAATCTCGAGAACTGTGAGAGGAATGGAGTTGGTATTTTGTACATATTCATTGTTTGCACAATAGTTTTTGTGAAATACCATGTTTACCGACCTCGTGACCCTTGAACTTGCCCTTTGATGTATCTTCAGAATAATTCATAGTGCCAAAACAGCATATTTTTTTTTTAAATTTAAGGGGAAAGTCTTAGCTATTTAGCATGTACTCTGTTAGTCATAAAACATTATGAAATTTAAAAAAAAAAAAAGCGTTACCGTCCACTTAATCTTGACCTTGGACTTTCTTTGCAAACGATACTCCCGATGGTTTAATTTAACCGTTGTTTTTTTTTTAAATTTTGAGAGGGGGGCTTTTGCATTGATAATTAACATTTATGTAACTTGGTTGTGAGCTCATGATGCTGTACTTTGAAACTGCATGATACACAGTTACCACACAAGCTGAATTTTGAATGTTATAAAAATGCACCGGGATTGCCATTCCAAAATGAATCGTTGAAGAGTATAATTGCGTAAAGATATAATGAAACATCTTTAATAAAAATATAAATAATTATTTTTAATAATTTCAATGAATATAATGTGTTCCATCTGGCGTTCATAAACAGCTTTCAATATCGCAAGGGCATACCCTACTTAAAATTTAAGTGATAAATTGTTTGTACATGTATTTTCTGGAAAGTGCTGCTGTTTTGAATAGAACTCGCATGTTATTTGTTTAAATTTCAAGTAATTGGACTCAAGTTGAAATATTTTTGACCTTTACCAAGTATTTTATGCATTTATTAAGTAATTCTCTCGATTTCAGGAAAGCAGCAGCACTTTCAAGTTCAGGAATATTTCCTTTATGTATATTCCAAAAATGGTCAAGATATAGTGATGTATGCCCTTGCGAAAACGCAATTTAAAAAGACACCTCGATATTAAATATGCCAACCCTGTACACAAAAATAATATTCTTTGAATAATATTCTATTCAATAATAAAATGCACTTTTCTCTGTAAAAAATACTTGATTCGCCTCTAACTGCACATAAAATGCGTCAAATTTTATCATGATGACGTCATGTGGACAAGTGCATTGCGATCAGTGACTTGTTTATACCTTGCTGTGCGAGATTTAACAAGCAAAAATGAATGCAGTGGAGAGTTTTGATATAATTCGTTACTCTTGTACAGTTTAAAATCGGAAATTATTTCATTTTCTGTTATTGTGTAGAATTGCTATTTTAGTGTGATGTCACAGTAAACATTCCCAGTATAAATTAGGCCCCGCCCCCTTTTTGCAGTCTTAATAGTGTTGCGGTTTTCAAAATCTTCAACATTGAAATTATTGAAACATACTTTTCATATCACTGGGCTAAAAAATAAACCCAGAATATTCAAACAACTAAAGGGGATGAAGGACACATGGTCACATGACTCTGTTTAACTACGTCATAGTCTCCGTTTATATAAGTGCAAAACGTGTAAAGCCATCTTATATATATATATATATATAAAGTTTTAACATTCTTTTAAACATTCACAAATCATGAAAAAGATTGATCCACTCCTCTGTCTCCCTAAAATGTGCGTCCATCAAGCAGGTGACGTCATACACGATCTGTTATTACAGCAAGATCATACTCGGTGGATACAGAGGCGGTATCATTATGTAAAAACGGGTCTTAATCAGTATATGATGAAATATTTTGAGAAACGGGGAACACAAAAATTATTTTTGCATGGCTATTGACATAAATCTTATGTAGGTATATATATTCTCATTTATTGAGCTTACGTGTGACGTCATAGTTGGTCTTTCTCGTACTCGAGAAATGTTAACATGACACGTTTTTGTCATGGTTATGTCCTCTTTAACGATGCACTGTGCATTATTGAGGTCAGCTTCACCATTCGAAATTTTTACAGTTTATCAATAACTTGAAGGACTTGCATTTCGACGTAAATTTAGAAATATTGAATGCTAGAATTTTTTTAAAATTACGTCTTTTGTTGTTTAATTTGTCTTTAAAAGTACGTAGTTTTCCCTATCCAGATGCAGTGTGATAGATTGATTGATTGATTATATGTTGTTTAACGTCCCTCTCGAGAATTTTTCACTCATATGGAGACGCAACCACTTGCCGGTGGAGAGCTGCAAATTTTTGTTCTATACTCGGCACTAACGGCCATTGAGCAGTGAGGGGTCTTTTTCGTGCCAGCACCTACTGCGACACGGGCCCTCGGTTTATACGGTCTCATCCGAAGGACCGGTCTCCACGTCCAACAGTGGGATTCGAACCCGCGACGTTAGGATCAACTCCTTACTCAGCGACTCTAGAGCAGACGCTCTAACCACTGCGCCATGCGGGCGCAGAGTGATAGAAGAAACTTGCTTGAATTTTCGAATTTTAAACCATATTCATACTCTGAAATATTTTAAAAGATACGTGTCCACTTACATATTCTTATATATGAAACGAAAGTGAATCTTCAACTCATTTGGGATGAACTAGACATCTTAACGTTTAAAAATGTAGGGGAAAACATTTTTTTGAAATATGATTAAGTAGGTGAAGATACGTTCAACAAGTCTGTGAGTCGGAATCTTATGTAAGATATTTTGACCAAACAATAGTGATATTAATTAATAAACTTTCCAATAAAGTGACTTTTAGAGTTTTTCAAACTCTGGACCCTGGATTTAGGATGAGGACACGATAGAAGGAACATAATTTTACGTGAATTTCTTTTGAAGAACAAAAGGGAAATAATTGTCTCGTTGATATACAATTCCGATGTAAGTTTGGTCAATGTCTCTGGAAAAAAGAACGTTGGGCAAAGAATTAAAAAGAAAAAAATCTTTCAAATTTGTTTTGTAACAAGACCAAGCTAAAGGTGACTCAGGTGAGCTTTGAAGCCCATGGGCTTTTTCATTTATTCATTACATTGAGATTTTATGGACTATTGCGTTTTAAGATGCAAACGGCTATCAAATGTAATTACTCTGTAATCCAGGTTTATTCTGTAAATGACATTGACATCAGTAGTATAAAAAAAATATTATAAGCTATTACATGTTTAGGCCTTTATCAAGTGGATATTAAACATTTGATTTTTTCCCCCCATACTTTGCATTCGCCACCTTTCGTTTAAATAATTACACGTGTTCCTTTGAAATATGAAAGCTAAATTCCAAATTATTTCATTAATATGATCATAGATATATCATATCTGACTCCATTGGCGCACTCAGTTTATTTGTCACATGTTTACCCTGTATATATTGGGTATTGCTCTGATCAATATACTATTTCATATGACAAACTCTGTATTCTAGCTCCTCGTGATGTAATCAAGTAAAGAATGTGTATGCATTTGTAATCACAAGAGATCCAAGCAGTACACCCAAATTTATTATTCATATATTAACTGATCCTACTGTAAAACATTTTATTTTGCACTATTTTAGGGGCGCAATATTACTGACGTTAGAATGCTTCGCACTTGTAAAAATTTAAAAAAAAAAAAAAAAAAAAAAAACAACAACAACAACAACAACGTGTGTTCCATTCATAAAGTAAATTCCGTATCAAACTAGAAAATATCGACCACCTTCTATTCATTTCATCGTTTCCTTTTTTGATTCATGTGAAATGGATTTTGTTTGGCAGTTGTTAACACCTCAAAAGATCTGTGTATATCAACTGCTGATTGTTGGGATGCATCGAAGACATGTTTGCAATCAGCGGAAGGACAAATTGGCGTTTGTATATGCAAATCTGGGTATATAGGATTTGGAAAAACGTGTCTAAAGGGTAAATATAAACAGGCGCATTGACACCAAATGCAAATGTTTATTCATTTGCAAATATTTCAAAACCTTGTAAATAAATGAACCATTTTAGAAGAAAATTTTAAATCATTCATTTTCTTAACAGGATAGTAACAGTTATGAATTTATGTAAGTTTTAACATTTATTTTTCTTGTTTTCTCAGAAAATTTAAAATTAAACGAAAAGTGCCAGCGCAATGAGCAGTGTTTTATGGTGTTTGGCTCGGTTTGCCAGAACGATACATGCAGCTGTAGGCAAGTGTCACACCTAGATTTTGACTGTTTTTATATTTTTTGTATAAATCCATTCAGTCGCATATAAAGCCCTTATTTTAGCGTAAATATAGTTTTATAGCTTTGTCTTAAGAATTAAAATATGTAACATGTTTCCATTAATACAATATTTTCTGGTTGTTGTATAAATGTGTGAAATGTCTTATAATTTCTACTTAATGATTCAAAGTATATTTTCTTTAAATTGTGGCACCTGAGTCTAATTGTATTTGAGTCACTTTTTACCTTTGATGTAATTATTTTTTCTTGCTGTCAGACAGGTGTAAACCAATTAATTGTTCAAACACCAGATGTCATAACCGAGTACCTTGTTTACTCAAGTTGAGTTGTTTTAGCGAAAAGTTGTTTGTAACTGTCGTTTAATTATAATTACTCGTTAATTGCCTTTTCACTAATTGTTCTTTGAAAATCCTGAGTTATAATTTTTGATTGGTCCTTTTTCAAGAACTAATTCTTTAAAATGGGCAAGAGTTGGGAAATGCGCATCACACCTATGATTGCGCTAATAAAGACATAAAGTTTATATTTCCCACTCTTTGCCTCTATTTCTAGGTATGTACTGTATTTAAATTATTTACGTTCATTTTTTTAAAGACGGATTTTATTAATTTTGGAATTAAGTTCAGAATTTGGGTTCTTATTTTTGTCTAAAAATGTACACTCAACTTAGAACTTTATTTCATAATTTTCTTATTGGGTTTAACAATTAATAAGGATTCTTGTAAATACACTTTCTGCATTTATATCATGCTTTATTATTTATAGTTAGCTAAAGGGAAATAATACAAGCATTTGCTTATCAACAAGTACAACTCTTCTATGTAGGGAGATAGAGTTTTTGTAATTCTTAAATTATGTTAATCGTTTCTAGAAGTGCATGATGACGAGCAAAAATTCTATTCTTAAAGCTTTGTAAGAGTTCAGATTTGTTAGCAATAAGTAAATATTCATTTCTCGAATTTTAGCTGAATTAATTAATAATTGATTTTTAATATGTTTATTATATTAATGGTAAACAGTTAATCTGTACATTGTTATTTCAATTTACTTTATTGTGGAAGTTATAATGTTCGAGTGTCACCCCGGTTTCAATTAATGTTTTTTTCTAAATATATATTTTGTGTTACATTTATTTTAATGAGACCGGGTTACTTTTATAAGATCACACCTATGATTGCGCTAATAAAGACATAAAGTTTATATTTCCCACTCTTTGCCTCTATTTCTAGTTCAAGGACAAACCTGATTGCAAGGATCGTCTAATTGACAAAAGATTGTCTCAATTTACGGATCGGGCACATTTAAAATAGAAACATACCCAAACCGTGTGAGACACAAGGATATGTTCCCTTTAATGATTCGGAATGCATTTCGAGTTGGTTAATTTAAATCTTCTCATAATTAAAAAAAATATATAATGAAATCATTTTTATATATTGAACTCATGCTGTTCCATTGTAGCTCATGTAACATTTATAAAATAAAAAATGCATCTATGTACATATTTTATGTAACAAATACTTTGAATACTAAATAAGGCTTTTTTGGTGGTGGTGGTGGTGGGGGGGGGGGTGCATTATGCTGTTTTAATAAAATCAAATGAAAAATTGAACTTGAAACTAATCAGCCCAGGCGCAATTTTTGTAAAATATAAAATAAAAAACCTAAATGCTTTCATAAGACAGTAATACGCGCATATAAGTTTTGCCTCTAAACGTTCTCTATTTCATACCTTGGTAACTTTCCTGTAAGCCAAAATAGTCTTTAATTTACAGAAAGAAAGGGGTTGCGTTACTCAGGTGACCGCTCAATCAAATACGCCTCTTGTAGAAAAAAATCCATTTTTCGGCTCCCAATCGGTCCCTATGATGGAAATAGAATCCAGAAACCTTTTTGCAAATCTATATGTCACCATCAATGACATTAACATGAATTAGCTACTTATTAAATTCGGAGAGGAAACCACGTATAAAAGTAATAAAAAGCACGTTGTTTCCTGCCCCGATTGGACCTCAGAACAAAAATATTAAACCTTATTGTACATCTACCTGACAACACTATTTATATTCCAAAATATTACTCTGCTACTTTAAAAACGTGAGAGGAGTTCTAGGAACCAGAAAAAAACGTGGATTTTCGACCCATAACCCCCGTCCCTAGGATAGAAAGGACAATTCATAAAATTAATCTTATATATACAGGTAAGAATAGTTTGAGGACGATACTTAACATAGTGTGACAGACGGACGGATGGACCAGGATAAAATTTTACTTCAAGTTTCTTAAAATAAGTGTTCACGATGGTCTAATTAAAAGAACGTCCTACCAAAATAAATACTGAGCTTTTTTGTTTCTTCTTGTCTAAAGACAAGTAGCGAATTTTTACTTTGAGGTATATAACACCAAAGTGTATCAAAATATTTTTTCTTCTGAAGAAGAAATATATGATCATATACTAGTATATATACACATATATGTATGGCAGCTCAATTAATCTAAGAATAAAATATCCCTCTAAAGTCATTCATAAAGTCTTACCTTGATTGTGAACATTTACAAGTCCTGAAATATTCATTTTTTCCTTACTGTATTAAACATGGTTTTTTTGCGAGAAAAATTAGCTAATAATTCTGAAAATTTCTTTGTACCGTTTTATTTTGTGATGATATTGGCTTTAATTAAATATCATTATTTTTCATCGCTTTATTCGTATGCAATATCATTTTCCTGTGTAGTAGACATCTTAAAAGATTTGTGTACACCGACCAAGGATTGTAAAGAAGTATCTAAGAAATGTTCCTTGACAGGAAAGTTCGGCGTTTGTGTGTGTAAACCTGGGTTTATAGGATTCGGAAAAAAATGTTTAAAAGGTAAATATAAATTCTTCGGTATCACATGTTTATTCAAAAATGTTCCGTTAATAAAATAAACCATTTAAAACAATTCAAACATTTTAACGGGGTATGAACATTTTTGTATTTATTAAAGTTTTAAAATTGTGTCCTTTTTCTTGTTTATCAGGAAACTTGAAACCGAACGAGACATGCAAGCGAAATGAGCAGTGTTCTGCGGTATTTGGTGCAATTTGTCAGAAAAATACCTGCGTTTGTAGTTATGGATATGTCCCATATAATGATTCGGAATGCTTTCTGGGTAGGTTTATTCATTTTTTTTACTGCTAAGTATACAAATTTTATTAACCTTTTTACGTATCAAAAAACATGCCATTCTATTTGTTTTTATTAGGGCTGGCAATTTATAACCGGTTAACCGATTACTCGGTCCGAACGATGGTAAATCGGTTAAAGAATTTGTAATCGGAAAAAATAAAATATGTGTTAATTTAACGCAATTTTCTTAAAATTCATTTTTAAACAAAGAAACCTCTGCATAAAAGTCGATAGTTTAGCATTTTCACATATCTATCTAAGCTGAATTAGCGGTAATTATGGCTCTTCAAATTGAGATCGAAAGGTAATTAGTCAGTTTGTGAAGTGTAGATTACTATTTAAACACCACGTCGTTACCCCGACTGTCCTGTAATTATTTAATGATCTTTTGCAGTTATCTATCAAATTATATTATTACATTGTTTATTAAGTGAAAGTTCCGACCTAGTTTTAATTATGTTGACAATGCAGTATGAACCACTGGAAAATTATCAATAGCTTATTTCTAAGGCATGTTCCATGGGTTTTCTTAATGTTTTCTTGTGTATTAAAATAGAAATAAACTATTTTTACATATAGTTTATTGATCAAAGTAAACAGAACGTTTCTATCTTTTAATTAACGTATTTTTTTAGTCTTGTGTTTATCATGAATAGAGGTACTTGAAAAAAAATGTCAAGAAAAATTAATATGTATTTTGATACGATTAGCCGGTTAATCGGTCGAAACGTCTTGCGGTTAACCGATTAGCAATTTTGTAATCGATTGCCATCCCTAGTTTTTATATAACAATTGAGGTATAAAAGAATAGCAAACATAGGAAATGGGTTTTACAATACATGTACTTGAGTATTCAAATTTATTGTTGAATGCTCATTGAACCTTTATTTTATACTGCATGTTGCAAAGTACTATAATCTAAAGCTATTTTTATGTTTATAGCGCACTCAGATTGTAATTTACAAGGAAACGTCAGGAGCCAGAAAGGTATTCGAAATAATATTTATAAATCTTTTAGGTTCAGGAAAAAACATTTAAAGCTCACGATGAGACGCAGGACTGTTAAGGGTTTGGTTTTATGTGCAGCCAAGTGAAACTCGTATGAAATAAAAATCTCAATATCTTAATAAATACTTCTTGCTTACTCTTGAAAACTGACCTATGGCACCTTCCATGGGAAAGCTGTCTTGACATTTATGCAGTTTGGTTGTCACTTGCAGTGTCATGCAGCAATAATGTGCATATTACACTTGCAGGACTGCACAGCTACAGGTCTAACAAAACAATAACATGACATTTGTTGTATATGTGCAGATAGTTGAACGTCATAGGTACAACTATTTGTTTCGTTCCTAGCAATTCTGTGCGTACTTTTTCCATAACTGTCTGTTTTTCATCAACTAGGCATGTCCGCCATGCGAAATCTGTGGGCTGCCATTCCGGTATTGAAACCAACTGACTATTTCTGTAATCTGATGTCTCTAGTACCCCAGTTACACAAAGCAATTAGAGAGGTATCTCGTAAAACATCTCCAGCTATTATAATGTTTCGATCTAAATGTTTAATATTGTTTATTATAAAAGTAACAACGATGTTTACGTCATATCAGGGAATGCTCCGTCTTTGATTTTTACAATGGTCCAGATAAATTAATACGCGCCCAGTTTTAGCAGTTCCGATTGAAGTGAACGTCTGTTATTTCTTTTGCAGGTAAGGCTATTTATTACCTTTTATCAAATAAGTATATTAATCCTACAAATGTAGGACAATGTCATAAAATATTGAAAAATATTGCACGAAAATTAAGAACTATATTCACTCAGCGTAGTTCATTTCTGAGGTCTGTCATGCGATATT